ATTCAACTTGCCACTATATTTGTGATGTCACGCAACACTAAAACTCTGTCATAAATCTAATGACATTCCGTTATATAGGTCACGGTCCGTGACATTTGAAAGTCATTTGAATATATGGTGTTACACTACTTTGAATTGATTGTCACAGAATCGTGACGTGACGCATCCTACATATGATTAATTTAAGGGCAACATAAGCCCAACACAGAGCAAGTTATTCATTTTTATAAATGTAAATTTTTTCAAAGACTTTGAAATTTCTTTATTTATTTGCAAAAGTTAAAACGATATTTCCTTTTTTTATTCATTGTAAAAACATTATTTACTTCTTGAAAATATTCTGGTAATTCTTGTGAAATTAAGTTTGTAAAGGTTACTATGGTAATGTCAGTAGGAAATTTAGCCCAGGTTTACAACCTCAAGGACTTTTTGCCAATATGGCCGCCATCTTGAATCTGTCGTCTTGAAGGAGAAAGTAGGGTTTTTTTTCTAAACAATTTGTGCCTTTGCATCATGACATAATCTCAAAATGGCGGTCGCATCGGCAAAAACYATCAAATAGGGAATGATTTTGTGGATTCTCCGGAACTTTATCATTAAAACAAAAAGAAATTTACTGAGGTACATGGTAAAATTGAAAACATGTCAAAATGTCTTTAACCATTCATTAAAAGAATACTAATAACATAAGTTTGGTTTGAATACACCAGGTTGTTAAGTTGATGGCAGCCAGGATAGATACCGTATTTACTCGAATAGACGCCTCCACCGAATAGACGCCGCCCTCAAATAGACGCTGCACTTAAAGCTCAAAATATTAATAGACGCCGCCCCCGAATAGACGCCGCATCTGGGTGCGGCGTGAAGTTGAGGAAATTATGATACCAGCAATGTGAATTTATTTTCTTTTAAAGCATTTTTTATTTCGAAGTGACTGTACTTCTTTGCTCTCAGCAGCTGTTAGATTCCGACCACCAGGAGGACATTGATGTTGAAATAGAAGTTTCACTCTGGTTAAAATCATAAATTGAATAGACAAAATGAACACGACATATATATGGAGATTCGTTACTGTTTGTTAGTAAAAAGATACAATATAAAGTACGGTATGTAGTACTGAATAAAGTGTCTTTTTAATAAACGCCGCTCCCGAATCGTGAAAAAAGAAATAAACGCCGCGGCGTCTATTCGAGTAAATACGGTAGTAGATATTATAAGTTTGTTCACGTTCAGTTAGGTTTGAATACACCAGGGTGTTAAATTGATGGCAGCCAGGATAGATAGTAGATATTATAAGTTTGTCCACGTTCAGTTAGGTTTGAATACACCCAATTTGTTAAACTGGTGGTAACCWGACGTCTGTTCGTCAAGTATAACCAGAGCCTCGCCATTCTTGGAGTCATCGGCAATGAGCTGAATCAGAGCTTTAGCAATAACCTCTGGTCTAGAAAAGAAAAGTCATGTTATTCCCATCGTCATGGTTATGACTCTAATCTATATCATCTAATAAACGCACTTGCGATTTTGAATTATTAAGAAAAAAAAACATACTTCATCAATGATTGCTCAAGCTCAGGGAAATCTTCCAGTGCTTTCTTGGCCATGGGAGTGTCTGTTCCATGGGGACACAGACAATTGACTCGTATGCCCTTTTCCACAGCTACCTGCAAAATGTACAGTGTGTCAAAAACAAATTGAGCGAGGGAGAGAGGGGATTTGAACCAAAGCGATGTAATATCGGGCAGCTTGTTTATCTTTTTGGAATGTAAGGAAAATATTGTTTTGGGTGAAAAACTTGGCACTCTTGTTCATTTGAGGACTGCAGTAAACATGTTGCCYGCTTTCTTTTAACCGCGAAAAAGGTCTATTTTCCCTTCTAAGATCGAGTTTTTATCATAAAGGGATAAATAATGTACATATGTTTTTCACTGAAAATCATTTTACGGTATCACCTTTAAACTAGAAAAGTGAGTATTACCCGTGAAACGGCAGTTGCTCTAGTGAAACCAATCACACCACTTTTTGTAGCTGAATAGAMGGGAAGRGGCCACGGCGAGATTCCTGTAGTACTAGTTAGTATCACTATCGAAATCACGATATTCATATGTAATGGGAAGTTGTGAGAGATTGGGTATTATTGGTTGATGCTAAGTATGATATGAACAATTATTGGTTGGGACTGAGTATGATATGAACAATTATTGGTTGAGGCTGAGTATGATATGAACAATTATTGGTTG